TAAAAACCATTTGCCTTTTAGAAGCTGCGTAAAACTTTAGGTCTCTCCATTTGGTTGAAGTTGGCTAAATATTAATGAAACTTAGCATGCAAACTATTTATTATATAAGCTATATAGGAATCGAGTCGTAGATGTTGCCCGGACCGGGGATCGAACCCAGGTATGGTAGTAAGCAACTCTATCCACTCAGCCACACTGGCCGCTAATTTTTTATCTACAGTCTTCAGTATTTGGAAATTGTTATATCGAGGGCCTATTTCCAATACCTTCTATCCACAATGCTCAAAAGAGTTTCTGTTAATGGAATTCATTGGATGCTCACCTCTCAGTCCAGATAATGTTCTTGGTTCTTCCTCAAACTTCCATGCGGAGTACTTATGTATGTATAAAGTTGGCTTTAATGTCGTTGATGACAGTTAAATCAGAGATCAGGTGTGTACTTATACTTCTTGTAGTAACGTGTATACCTAAGAAACAAATGTGGTATCGAGAGCGAAAAACGCTTCTTCATTTTCGCTTCAACGAGGCAATACTACAACATGGGCAAGCCATTGGCAGTAATGATTTTCAGATGATTTTGGATTCCCCTTAATGGTTTCAAAAGCCGTACGACAGTTTACACATTCTAAGTAATATTTTCAAGAATACGTTTATACTTAAAGCGATTCAAGATTTTGTCCTGGGAACGTATACAAGAAGGTATTACTTTCGCATATATAAAATGTCCTTCGCTTCTTTAACCCATTACGGCGAATGCAAATTCGTCTGCAAGCCAAAATCGCCATTGACATGCCTACGTCAAAGTAGTGACTTAGAGTTAGACTTTTCTTTCAATTTCATATGCATTCATTTCTAAGGTAATCGTGTTTTTTTTTGCTGTGTACAATGTTATATATATATATGTTGGATATGTACAAACATAACGGCAATTTCACAGCGCAATTCCCATTTGCACTGGTGTTTTAATTTTTTACAATATTCTACGCAATGGCACATCGTCGTGGCTTAAGGACAAACAAAGGTGATAAATAAATGTGTCGGAGGTTCCATTGAGGGCGTCACTATTGCGTATGTACAATATGTTAATACATAAGTGTAAGTGAAATAGCTGAAATCNCGTGTAAAACCTGTAAGTTTATGGAGTACTGGATCAGAGCTAATATGTACTCGGCTTTGAGGTCATTATGCCTCAAATAAATATAGTATAAGGCAGCAAAAGGTATACTAGGGTGATCCTTAAGATTATGAAAATCCAAATTGTGCATATAAGACCTCTTTTTTTGTTCTATGTACAAAATAAGGACTCACAAAAATTTCAAAACCTCAAAACTGTTTTTAGGGTTCACTACTTAGGTTAAAAAAAATTTAAATCTGATTTATTAGAAAATTTAATATATGAATTCATATAAATCACGAAATGGGTTCATCATTCAATACAAAGCTTCAAAGCCTGTAATTTAATTAGGTTTTTTCGGAGTGGGTAAGTGCAGCATTTGAAGGTTTTTCGAAGGTTCTAAATAACATTAGTTTACAAAAACTTTCCCTTAAACAAGTAATTTTTTAGCAAAAAACAAAACCGACTTCTATTCTCATATAAAAATGTAAGATTATCGTTAATTTCTTCATGATCGAATGATCGTAATTAAACCAAATTAGTACGGTACTTCCTGTGAGGTAACACCTTTCCTTTAAAAAAAAGAATTAATGAAATCGCCTAACGTGGTCCAAAGTTATGCGGTAACATACATACCAAAAAAATATTGCGACGAATTGATAGCCTTTTTCCTTATTTTTAAGTGGGTTAATAAATAAAAAAGGAATCAACGACTCCTAAAAACTATTTTAAGATTTTGAAATTTTAGTCGTTGTCTTCATTTTGTACGTAGAACAAATGCATAGACAGAGTGTTTAAGATAGGACTATAGTTTGTGTTGAGATGCCTCTTTTCACTTTATAGAATATCTCCAGCGCAGACTGTTTATTCCAATCTTTTTGTAAATAAAAGTCATCTCCACCACCTTCACAAGGCTTTAGCGCTGTCAATGGCCAATTAAGCCAGCATCTTCTATCGAATATATTTTAAACGCTTTGGTTCCTAAAGAACCCTCCATTGAATTTAGATGACCGCAGAAGTCTTGAAATTAATCTGATGAGGAGATGTTGTGATTTTCAAAATAGCTGATTAGATTTTTTTTGGTTTCTTTTCCTATTTTCCAAAAAGACATGGAGGCATTGTACATATGTTTGTACAAATGGCTACATATAAATGTAAATACATACATATGTATGTACGTAAGTATAATAGTTGGACGGCCACAGCACTCGCATTTTGCTTCGATAGATTCAAAAACGAACAACGTCTACAAATTCGTTGTCTTTCGAGAAGGTTTCTGTTGTTAGTCATATGCAGCTGATTGGCAGCAAAGCAAATGCCTCGTTAATGGAATATTTTCACTGAATCCGCATTCGACTTTGACTTTGAGACCTTGTCAATAACTAAGTAAGATTTTGAGCTATTTCCTGACTTTTTATTATTTATTTTTGCGTTGTTGTTATAGCATTCATATAAGTTGCTAAATTTCGGTATTCTTCAATGCTGGTTCTGTTGAATGACAATATGAGATTGTACATCAAGAATGTCAGAAAATTCTGTGAAGGCGCTGGAAGGTAAGCGCATAACTATGTAACGGGTGATTTTTTTGAGGTTAGGATTTTCATGCATTAGTATTTGACAGATCACGTGGGATTTCAGACATGGTGTCAAAGAGAAAGATGCTCAGTATGCTTTGACATTTCATCATGAATAGACTTACTAACGAGCAACGCTTGCAAATCATTGAATTTTATTACCAAAATCAGTGTTCGGTTCGCTTTACGTCCGATTTATGGTCTACATAATCGACCAAGTGAGCAAACAATTAATGCGATTGTGACCAAGTTTCGCACTCAGTTTACTTTATTGGACATTAAACCAACCACACGAATGCGTACAGTGCGTACAGAAGAGAATATTGCGTCTGTTTCTGAGAGTGTTGCTGAAGACCGTGAAATGTCGATTCGTCGCCGTTCGCAGCAATTGGGAGTGCGAAACACATTTCGAACCGAACACTGATTTTGGTAATAAAATTCAATGATTTGCAAGCGTTGCTCGTTAGTAAGTCTATTCATGATGAAATGTCAAAGCATACTGAGCATCTTTCTCTTTGACACCATGTCTGAAATCCCACGTGATCTGTCAAATACTAATGCATGAAAATCCTAACCTCAAAAAAATCACCCGTTATATCATACCTACGGTGACCATCCGTCCTTTACTTTAAAGGACAGTCCTTTATTTTAACCCCCTGTCCTTTATACGCCTTTTGTCCTTTATTTCTTAAACTGTCCTTTAAATCAGCTCTGCACTTTTCAGAGGTAAACTTTTAAACACAGACTATGAAAAATAAAAATAGCCCTTATAAAATATAATGAAAACCTTCGCCAGTTTGTTTCGCACCCACGTAAGGGTTTCTATTTAATCGGTAATCTTTGTACAATCTATAAAGCACAGGGAAAGTTGTACCCAGGATCGTGTTACACGCTGAGTTTCCAGTTCCACCGTAAGAGAAGAATAAACCCCCTGCTACACAGTCGTTAAAAATTGGCATTTAGGGTTCGTAATTTTATGAAAGCTTACAATGATTTCAAGAGACCAGTTGACACAAACAACCAAAAAGAAGACCAGTTTGATTTGTGAATTTTTATTTGATTATATTAAATTTTTTAGTGGAAAATGCAGAAAAAGTAGCAAAATATTATAAAAAATGTTCACCAAAATAAATATTTGATTTAAATTACGATATGGGTAAGGTACTTTTCTCATACAAGTTGTGTGTATGTATGTTGTAAAGGCCTTTATTTTACGTTGGTTAATATGGTCACCGTAATCATACCATAAGTGCTTGTCAAGCAGTACATAAGGGAAGTCAAGAGGTATAAAGCTTCCGCGTACATCGCTTTATGCAATAATTTTGTACTTTGTACATATGTACAGACATACCAGACCTCGGAGACGAAGATTTCTACCAGTTGAGCCTCTACTCGACTCAAGGACTGGCAGCCTTTGACTGGGTACCCCGGGTTTGTCAAGCCCGTAATTCCACTTACGCGGAATCTTCTGGGGGAAGGGGAAGGAAAGAAATGTTTGTAAAATTCCAGAGCATCCGGGCGAGGGCTTGAAACAATGGAGAGCGTACTAACCAGCAGCCAATGAATTCTCTGCCAGACTTTCGGTGGCTCTCGCGGAAGAGCGCAAGCGTGAAGCATTACCCATGGCCGAGACGCCGTCTACTTTTGCAGCAGACTGTCGTGAGAAACCGCGGAGGGTCACTTGCTTTGACCACATTTTTTTCTATATCTCAAGCTGATGAAAATTGTACGCGTACAAATTCACTATCAGCACAAAAAAAAATCTATCAAAAACGGATTTAACATTTGCCGACCCAAAATTGTTTTCATTTTTGTTGGCCTGTGGTACACACACCTATTTTCATTCTTTTCTTTCTTTGTTTTGAAAAATTCCTCCGATTGCTTTTACAGAAATTAACCAAATATAAGAAAATGGTTAGGAATTAATAACTAAAATTAATAATTGGGAGACTCGAAATCTCTTTTAGGGCTATGCTTCAAGGGAATTTTTTGTTCAGAATTGCCATTAGAATATTTCAGTCGCCGAAACAAAATCGCACAGTCATTTGTGCAATGGTACAGCATGATTCCATAATTAATTCGTTGAATCATAATGGCACAGTCCACAGTATATTTATCACTTCATCTCCGAAATATTTCCTCGAACTTTTACTTTTTTGTCAATTATGAAAAGAGATTAAACTAATTGAATATTTGTTATTTTTTATACGGCTATACAAATTTTATATAAACTAGCACCGATAATTTTTTTTTTAGGAAGACCAATTTATACTTCTTGTAAAATCTGATATAAGTTGTAACCGCAACAAGATATGATAGCGGACGAAGACGTAGCAAGACATTTTTTTATTGAGCGCACTGACCGCAAGAGCTTGTACATACAGCTCAAGAAACTTGTACAAACCGCGCAAAATGTAGCGGCGAAGGAGCTGGATCAACGGCGTCAGATGATGCGTCGCATGCTAGAGCACGAAGATCAAATTTACGAAGAAGAGTTTGCCAACAAAGTCAAATCACGCATTGACGAGGATATAAAAAAACGCAATAATATTTTGCTTATGATCAAAGAGGAACGCCATCGTCAGGAGAAAGTATTCTTAGAGAAAAAGAAGGTGCAGCAGCAATTCGAAAGTTGCTATGAGATACGCGAAACATTGCGTAGCAAAGAAACCTTGCAAGTGAAGGAAGCTCAGCTAGAGCAAATAACTGAGAAAGAGCGCGCACTTAGGCGAGAACGCCAGCTGGATGACTACTGGTGTCAAGTAGGCGATGTCAATGCCCGACGTTATGATCAACGGCAAGCTGATGAGAATCAAGCGAAATGTGATATACAGCGTAATATGCGTTGCACATTAGATGAGCAAATTAAGGAGCACAAGAGAGAGCTTGAACAGAAATGTGCATTGAAGCGCCAGGAAGCAGAGGAGCTGGCCAGGGTAATGGAAGAGCTGCGCTTAGAAGAATTTGAACGCAGACGTTTAGGCTTGTCGGCAAAAACGATCAGCTATCGCAAAGAGTTGCTAAATATGATGGCTGAAATTAAGGCACGACGCGAGGCGCAGGAATGCGAGAGCGCTGAAGAACACCGCGCACTGATATGTCAAATAGCAAAGGAGCAGCAAGAATGGAGCGCAGCGTTGTTACAGCGAAAGCGCGCTGTATACAATGCCACAATAGAATACCTCGACTATGTGCGCCGCATGCGCAAGCTGGAGGAGGATGCGCAAAATATGCGCGATGCTCGCATTGACGATTTGCGGCATGTGGATATCTGCACAAAGAGCAACATACAAGAGGAGACAAAACGCAAGGCGCAAATGGCAGCGCTTTGTTATGCCGAGCTGCGGCGACAAATTTGCCAAGAATATGAGCGGCGTTTGCGTGAAGCGCAGGAACAGCGCGAACAAAAGATTATCGAGAACCGCTTTGCGCGGCCAGAGAAGACGCGTGCCGACATACTGGCAGAACGGCGTAAGATGCGGCAAGGACTGGATGAACAGTTGATTGAAAATGCGCGCCTACATTCTGAGGAGGAGGAAAAATACAATGCGAGTCTGCAGATTGCCATTAATGATGCCGAATATTGTAGGCAATTGGCGGAGAAGTACTTGAGTGCGGGCGTTGACTATTTACCACCACACCCAAATTGGCTGATTTACGCATGTCCGCAAAAAGATTTTGTCAGCAAAGAGTTAAGGGACCAAGCGGGTGACGATCATAAATCGAATGATGCAGAAACTTACGAAAAACAGTGCGCACCGGCATCGCATGCGCGCAGCACAATTGGTCGAGGGTTAAGCGTGGGCCAAGCGCAGAAAGGAAAAAGTTAGAA